CCACTCACATATTTGGATGCAATTCAGAGCATCAAACCATTCCCTAATTCAATATACCATGACCACATGCCATCGTCACACATAAACATAATTACTGGGTTAACAGACAACTTGGAGGAGGCTGCTCTCTATTTCCACCTTTGTGTGGGATCTGGGGTTAAAGTCAGGTTGTTAAACATGTATCATCTTGTGGCAAGTGCCTTTACCATTGGGCAATCTGGCCACAGTTCCTCCTCCTATGTTTCTTCTTCTTCCTCTTCCTCCTCCACTCATATTGCACCACAAATGTCATAAATGGTGTTTTTGTTGTTGTGTTGTAATTCGGTTGAACCAGAATGCGAATGAACTCTCTGTGGTAATTTTTTATGTGACTTTCCTCCTCATTTGCCATTTCCCTTTCAGTATTTTGCTTGCACTGATTGACTGATGCAATATTTATGCTAAAGAAGCCAGGTCATTTGTCTTACAGAGTTTGCCAAACTTCAGATTTTAACTGTTGTATCTTTACAAAGAAATCAAAGAAACATGGAAAATCCAATCTTATTTGACGACTGATCGTGAAATCTGCAGGTCTGAATATACTCCGGTTCACCTGGAGCTTCGTTTTAACAGAACTTCCCAAGGCTCCTTGGAAGTGATGTTTTCTTCTCCTGTCAGGAGGCTCGGGGCTTTTATGCTTCCAATTCTTGATCTGAGATCCAATACTTGATCTTTGATCTAACTCTTCTTGGTCACAGTATTACTTACTCTTTAACATACTTTGTTTTACGGTTCTGTTTCTGCATGAAAATGAACTATCTATATAATAGAAAGCGATGTCTGAATAGCTTTTCCAGGTGAACACAGCTACGAGGAAACAAGTGTTTTGTTTTTTAATTTATTCTTCTCCCATGCAATATATCCTGACATCTTCCTCTCTCTTCACACTTCCCAGTCTCTTCCCACCACCTTCCCTCTCTCCTGAATCCATTGCTGCCCTAGAAACAAGTATTTCTAAAACTTAAGAAGAGCCACAGAAAAAGCATATTTGATCCATGTACTAGTTTAAATTCCACCAGAGGTCACCATTATCTACAAAGGTGACATTATGGAGCTGTAGAAACTGAGGAACCAGTACAGAAATAAACCAACAACAACAGCAGCAGAAATAGGCCTCTTGTTCTATAGTTTTCTGGATATGAAGGATAAACAGATGCCATTTGTCTTTAAGAACATGGAATTTTTGTGGGAGAAGAGGGGATTTGAACGTCTTGCTTTCCTCCTTATGCATATTGCATTTTATCATATGCCAGATTACCAAAGCATTCTATGGTGGGGTCAGCCCAGGAAGTTTCATACTGTTTAACCTACCCATCAAGAGTCTCGTGAGTCCCACTGATGAGACATGAGTGTTGTAATGTCTGTCACAACATGAAAGATATTCACTTACCTGCGACAGGGCAGAATCTAGTCAATAGAAACATATCTAGATTTCTACACGCTAAGTATGATGGACATCCAGTTAAAGATATAACATGTTTATACCAAGTTGAATGAGAAACTGAGAGACCTGATAGGGTTGTTTCCTTTCAGCCCATGGCATGGGGTTGTGGAAGAGTTCCTCTTTTAAATAGCCTTCTTGAGATACAGTTTACATTAGTGACATGACCTTAAAATACACAACTCCGTGATCCCTGGTATCTCCATAGGGTACATAACCATCACCACAGTCTCATTTCTAGCCACCCTAAAATAAGTCCATACCCATCAGCTGTCACTTGCCACTCTCCATGCCTCATTACCTACACTGTATACAACCACCTATTCACGTCTCTATAAACTAGCCACTTATATGCAGGTTTTAGATTGCTATGACTAATGTGTCTCGCTGAAATTCCCTTTATTTTTTACAGTATATGAACAAGAGTGGCTTTGAACCCTCAACTATGTGAATTGCTATCTAAGAAAGACATAGCAAAATAACCAAAGGAGATACAATGGAAACCAATAACTTGATGTTTTCAATAACTTGATGTGACCTAGTAATCAATCACCAGGCATGGCTGTCCAGGAATGGCAGAATATGTGGTGTGACTTACAAAGTCAATTGCCTATAATTTTAAATATGAACTGGAAGGAGGCATGGCTTTCAGGAATTTGTACTCACAAAACTACATTTGCATCCAATTCCCGACTCCACAGCTCACAATCTGAGCATCTCTGGATACAAACAGAAAGAGTGATGAAGCCAGCTTCATGGAGCTAGCCTGTAGGCCACACACGTGATGCCTTAGAACTAAGCTTGGTCATTTCAGTGGTCAATAAATGCAAAGTTTTGCTTGCTCAAATTCTCAAGTAGAATTCTCTCCCACACCAGCTTACCCCGCTCCACAGTATTTGGTGTTTCTAAAATCTCTATTCAAAGAAATTTTCTCCTTGAAGGCAATTTTATGGGGCCTGCAGATGCTCTAATGTAGACAAACAGCCCTGATCAAGCACAGTTAAGACTAGAGTTGAAAACCAGCAAAGCCAGGTACTTTAGAGCCATGTATTACATAAGTAGCAAAAGTGCTGATTTATTATTCTGTTCACGCAGCACTCATGTAGCAGAATTTCCTCTTCTATATTAAAAGGAAAAATTACAGTGCTAATAAAGCATCTATTATGGAACTCTACATGCCTAGCCTCAAACTACATATAATCCTTTGTAAGTCAGAATGTTGACATTAACTAATATTAATGTCAATTCAGTAAGAACCTACATGTAAAACATTAAATCTGCGTGTCCTGAAATGATGGTTTGACTGTGGCCATGTAGGGGTCCAGTGCCTTCCATGTTATGCAGGAAGGAATCAAAGTGCATTTGTTTGTAATACTGTCATTGAACTTTACTTCTGGGATATCATGTATTTTCTGTCCTTTTAAAAGGTGTGATGTTCAGTATGATTACGTCCAATCAGAGAACTCATGATACACAACATTTTCATACTTGGGAAATGTTAACACATTACATTCCTTGCTTTGAAACATGAAAGAATTAATCAAAGACAACACCCTTTCATTTTCCTTTGACCAGTGAGACAACGTAAACAATGCGGTTTGCATGCAACACCATTTAGGGTCCTAGAAGCCTCTGCATTATCCATCTGCGTGTATTTGTGTGTTTAACTCCCCCCCCCCAGCTTTCTTCCTCTTGGCATAATTTTGTATCTGCATGAGATTTCATAATTGTTTTGCATGAAAGTCATCTGTAATGTTAAAGAGTAGTGTCTAACACCCCCTGCAATATCACAGGCCATTAATTCTTACATAATATTTTTCCTTTACTTTCAGTTACTAGAGTTTAAATATGCTTGGAATGTAAAAGTGGCAGGACGCTGGAGTGACGCAAGACCATGCAATGTTCCTTTACGGAACTAGAGGGACACTTCCCAGCCTTGTCTTTGGCTGCCAGTTCTCAATTACGAGTTATGATAAAACTCTATTAGACACAGGTGCTATCTGCAGACCTAAGTTCCAAGGAAGTCCTGTTTAAGTATGACCTATAACACCTGTCCTGATCTGTCATAAAATTTAGCTGCTCTGACTTTGGTGAAAAACCTTTCCATACTTCAGTGTTTCCTGAATGAACGTTATTACTGTTAATTAACTAGACGAGCAAATGCCTTCTTTGACTTTTTTTTTTTTTGCTCGAGCTTCTAAATTAATATGGGAACAAGACTAAGTGGCATGAGTGGGACAAAATGCTCACCTCTCAACCAACAAGTACTGATTTCCTCCGAGCTGTCACCCCTCTGGCTCCACACTTCTTCCTGCCAGTGGCCAATGCTCACCCTGGGTTAGAATACCCCTTTTCATATTACCATTGGGAATTCAATTCAAAATCTGTGCAAGTAAGAAACCCTGGTCCCTGGAGATGATTTTCTAGTGTTTTTTAAGCAGCTAAAAGATTCAAATCAGTTTTTCAAATGTGGATGATCATCAGACTGGCGAGACATTTTTGAAACATGGTAGAATATGAAAGTAATAGAACTTAAATGGTCCCATGTCACCAAGATCAACCCACAAAGCATTTATGTAACAACAGCCACCATGCGATAAATTGAATTGTCTTTTAAAATCTACTGAACAAGCAAGTGCTAATCACTGAAGTGATTGCATTTTAAAAATTATATTTTATATATATATATTACTTTTAATCAAGCCCCATTTGAACTAATAGGTAGCTTGTACTTTAAATTGTATTTATCCTAATTTTTCCCTTTACCAAAATGTAGATGGGTGACTGTCACTTTCTCCCATGCTTGGGCAATTGCCAAGTGAATACTACATTAGCAGTTTCTGGCTGAGGCGGGCTCTTGGGGCTATCACCAGCTAAATCTGTGTTACCTGCATTGGACTCAAGCTCTGCTTCTCAAGCTAGTCACTAACAAGGATGTGAAGCTAAATTACCTTCTGAATTAAAATGTTACCCTATAATTATTATGTATCATAAGTCCACTTGCTTCCTTGTGCAGATTTAATTAAATCCAAGCTGAACAAACACAAATTCAATTTTAAGACAGCTAGAGGGGGGAGAAAACGACCTTTTTCATAATCATTTTGTGCCTGACAGTGATAACATGAGAACTGTATGGTGTTCTGGGCGGGTATCGCCTAGTGTGATCTCAACACCTAAGAAGTGTGTTGATTTGAGACATTCAGAGAGATCCAGTTACTTATCAAAGGGGACGGGCAAGCTGTTGAACCAGGATAGTCTGGCCCTCCCCTTGAAACATCCCCTCTGCCACCATTTATCTGCAAGAGTGTTCTGACTGTAAAGCCATTTCCCAAGGCGCCATTATCAAGAGCTGATACTGCTTGGAATTCGAGTCTGCCTCTCGCCCCCTGCAGCACCTCCATTGCGTGTCCGCTTGCTTCACTACAGCCCTGTGCTTTTACAAACTAGTTGTTCTGTCAGCATGAGTGTGACAACAATTAGACGTCCCCTGTTTTTGCCCCATGCCTTTTCTCCTTCACAGTCATTCAATGACAAGCGTAAAAAGAGCTTCATCTTTTCACGAAAATTCCCATTCTACAAGAACAAGGAGCAGAGTGAGCAGGAAACCAGTGATCCTGAACGTAAGTAGATTCTGAAGATAATGTCACATGCAACACAAGAAAAAAAATATCTTCACGGGCAACACTCATGACAGGCTGTCCCACGACACACCAAGGCAAACAACACGGCAGGCAGGCAGGGCAGGTTTTACTACTGTGACCGGTGTTTGACTGCAGTCTGGATCCTTCCCTTCCTGGGGCTGTTTTGCAGAAAGTGCTAGAACGGGTCTTGGCAAAGCTGGGGCTTCAGGTCCAACCAGCATCTCTCTGTGACCAGGAGTAGGTTGGGTTTGATCATGCAAGTCCCTAAGGCTTGAGAAAAAAAAAAAATCTGTTCAGACATATTGAATTACATCGCCACATATGTATTTTGTCTTGAATGCCAACTTGTTTGAAGTATTTCAATGACTTTCATTGAGTATTGGCACAGTGGTTCACTCTTGCTCTCCAGGAAGCCATTGAATACATGCCGAGAAGAGAGCTTAGAGTGGTGGATACAGAATTTGTCATGGGGACTTCCTTTGACAGTGGAAAAAAAATTACAGTCACTGGTCATCTTAATTTCCGCACAATCTCTGACTTCAACCTTTTGAGTTGATTTACAAATCAAAAATTTTCCTTTTATAACGCAGCTCAGGGAGTTTGGGGTGAAGGTCATTTCAAAAGAAAAGCAAGCAGGATCCAGATTGCCTGGGCAACACGGTCTGTCATGGTAGTACCCGTGTCAACTCCACTGACTTCTACCTTCCTCTTCCGTGGCTGTTCTTCCTCTCTCATTGCTCTCTCTGGGGACTTCCATGCAGGACATCCCCGGATTAGGTGACGACGGTTATGGAACAAAGACTCTGAGTAAGTTTCCAGGAATGGTCACTGTTAACTTTTCTTTTCCTTTCCTTTTGAGTTTGGCTTTTGTTCCTTTTCTTGAGGGCCTTTCATTCCTAGCATGCACACGATACGAGTTTGATTTGTTACCTAGCTGTGAATGCTCCTACGAAATAATTTTCAGTCATTTTGTTCTGCATGTCAGCATTTAAAAGCCAAGTGTGTCAGGCAGTCTAACTCCTGCTGTGGGCAACACCTCCCCCTTTCTGGCCATGTGACAATGGCCAACATGGTCTGGATGCCCATCAGGGCATCATTTGCTCAGCCACCAACTTCCTCTCAGGGAGCAAAAGACCATGTTGCAAAGAAAGGGTGAGCGAAGTGTTCTAGAATGGCAAAGTAGAAATATTCTTTATGTTCTTTCTTCTGCCTTTTCAACATAGAAAGCTATAACCTTGCCCGATTCTATAATTGATCTATACTTTGCTGTTAATAAAGGAGCTGTTTTGTAATCAAAAGCAACATGCATTCTCGAAAAGTAAATATTAAGACATCTGAGCCTTAATTCTTTGTAATTAACTTTGATTTTTTTTTTCTGACTTGCAGTGATCCTGCTTGAACCGTTTGTATGATAGTCTTAGATAAATATTAATACCTTTGCCTATCTGACTTACCAACTGCATAGGATTGTCAGGGCTTCATCTTGTAGTGCAGAATGAAAAATAAGATATATTAAACCTTTACATTTCTTTCTGCTTATTCATATCTTTGGTCTATGTGTTGTTGCACTCAACAATTAAAAACAAGGATCTATGTCTCAATCCTACACTATGATTTTGCCCTCTTTAATCCTAATCCCACTCTAGAAGAGCCAATGAAGTAAGAACAGAATGTCGTATCTTTTGCAAATGTATCACATATTCAATTTTGTTGTGTTTGTTTTAGTGTAATAGCTACAAGAGATACTTTCAGTTGTTCATTTTCATTCTATAAAGCAAAACACCATTGAGCTGGACTTCACATTCAGGGGCTGCTCACATAAGCCTATGCGTGTGGTGATGCCTGTCTTCGAGGGTTCAAGTTTAGACTCTCAGCCGTCTGTTTTAGACTGGAGAAAACAAAATCTGGTCAAGGGCTGCTCTCGCCTTAAAGATGAAAACTTTATCTTTAAAAGATGATGTACAGTGTGCTGTGAAATTTAACCACTGATTCCAGCGTCATCTGGATGGCACCACACACCATCTGGGGGAATTTATACACTTTCAATTTGGAAAAGGAAAGTGATTGTTTTAGCTGATCACTAATACTAAGCATCATTAAAAAGTATGTAATTGCCTGTTGGATCCAGAATGTCCAGATGTTTGCTTCTTCTGTGAAAACTGGACAGATTTAATTTATGAAAAAACACATCAGGGAATCCTCACATCATTGTGTCTAAGGAGACAAGATAGGAACATCCACAAGGCGCCATGAAGCAGGGGGTGTGCCCAGACTGACAGCACAGTTCTGGCCATGAAGCAACACAGAGGAATGGTTTGAAATCAGCATTTGCTTTGATTTTCGTTAGTTTTATGCTACAGAACCAATCTCCTCAGCAGACCAAAAAAAAAAAAAGTAAAGCATTTATTTTTGCTTTTACAGAAGAATGTAACTTCCTTTTCTCTCTCTTAAGTATTATCAAACAGTTGAAAGCCAAATAGTCACATACTTCGTTTTAGTGTGATGGCACATGAAGAAACTGATAAGTTATACATGACCAGCTCACCAACTGAACAACACACGTATCTCCGCTGTTAGACGAGGCATAATTCATGCCTGATCCTGCACTGAGTACCAGGCCATTTATTTTCTGCCTGCTCTGTTCTCCCAGAATTTAATAGCTATTCAAGCAAGGATCGTAGACTAGAAACTAAGCCGTGAACCATTTCTCAGGGATTCACTATTTCCTCCTGTGTTCTCTACTCACTGCAGCAGGAGAGAGCTTCAAAAATCCCTTTCACACCTGAGGATTTGCTTGCAAAGTGTTTAAATGGAAAATCAGAGGGACTCCAGGGAGCAGTTGGCAAACACAGTCTTCCTTCCTTCAAAATAACTAAGGACTAAAATAGATACAGAAAATCGCCTACCCAACAGTGGACACACACTGTCCTCCACAACTTCTGGGAAATCAGGGCTCTATAGATACGTCATTTATAGAAAGAACGTTACCTGGGTTGCCATTGTTTGCTGTTTGATAATTAAAGGTACTTTCTCACTTGCCAAAAGGAAGAGACGGCAATATTGTGCAAAGCGGCCATAAAGTTTTCATCTTTGTCTGATCTGGGTTCTCTCAGTGCGGTTCTTCTGCAGCCTCTCACTGCCCTTCTGCTCACGTTCCCAGTAGCTTTGCATGGGTGTGTCCTTTCGGTGCTGGCTGCTCTCTGACGCTTGATCCTTCTTTAATTTGCTGTGCTGTCCTTGCAGAACACGTCTCCTCTAATGCCAGCGACAGCGAAAGTAGCTGCCGTAAGTCACTGCTTGGGCTTGTGGTTCTTTCCTTTGCGGTGGCCCCCATTGCCTGTGGCTGTTATTTCAAGGCTCTTTCCTCCTGCTGCCTCTTATTGTCACCTTTCTCCAAAGCAAATGGCTTGAAACAAAATCAGCATTTGATGTGGAAAGACACAAATGACACGGGGGCCAGCAGGGGAACCTAACATGATTTGTGCATGCAGGCCCAGAGTTTTCTAAGCCCGATTCGAACCTCAGCTGGTTGTGACCCCATAATGGAGGATTTTGACTTTCTATTCCCCAAATCAATTTAACCACTGTGGAGGAAGGGAGAGGGTCATGATTCTATTCTCCTCCACATTTTGCCTTGTCCCTCCTGCCTCTGGAGCAGAAGCATTTCTTACAGTGCTCCTTTAGATCAGGTGTCTGTTGTACCACTTCCTCTCTGATTAAGATTTTAAGACACATAACATATTTATGCATCTCCCCTTGTTTGGGGGATAGCTGGGACATTGATGGAAAATGCTTCATCTAATGCTGAAAGAATTTCCAAAACATTTTAGGTCACAAATCATAACTGAAAAGGTAGGTAACTATTGAAAAATGTTCTCTGCCTTTCTTTGGTCACCTCAAGCCATTTGCTTAGTGTATGGAAATATTTACCAGACAATAAGCACATCCTTCTAATCAGCCCTCATGGTTTCTTGCTGCCTACTTCCTGGTCTTTGGTTACTAATCTAGGTACCTATTACCCCTGGGTTTTTATAGTATCTTTAATATTGATTTGCACTCCTTAGTAAAATGGGTTCCCCAAAAGCAATTGTTAAAGGGGTCAGAAAACTGCTGGGCCAGTACAGGACCCACAGAAATGAATACCAATGCAAAAAAAAAAATGGTATTATCTTTTGCTTGAAAAATTAATTGAAAAGTAAAATTGTTTGGGGCATCCCTGTCCTACCCCATTAAAGTATGGTACTTTATAAAAATTGTTGCTTTTGAGGCAGAGTACCAATTAGTAAGAGTAGCCTCGAGTGGGGTGTTTTGAAGAAGCAAACTATCGACCAGTAGAACACACACATACACAAGACAGAGAAGGGTGTCAGGTCATGGTGAGGACCAGAAAAGAAAGGTGACATGGACCAAAGATAGACTGACAAAATTGTGGTGAGGTGCCCAGGCAGAATGTTAAAGTTGCATAATTGTCAAACTGCTGAACCCCATTGAGTCTCACTGATGGAAGGATTCAGAGTTCTTATGTTCAACATGGTTGCTTTCTTCCTTCTCTTGACCCAATGTTAGGGGAGGAAAAAAAAATGCCTGTGATTTTCAATTCAGATAAGTCAAGAAGGAGGAGGGGTCAAAGCTTGTCTTCCTGACTCCGTGGGGAAGAGTAGGATGCACCTGTTTAGTTTCATGAAGATCACCGACAGCAACTTCCTGAGTTTTCAGTGCTCGGGGCTTCATTCCCTTCCAGTAGACAGAGCCGTAGAAAAAGAACATGGCACCCCTTATTCTTCAGTCCTCTTTATGGGGTGTACTACTTCTTTGGGAATTACATTTTTGGAATATTTTTTTCCAGAACCTAAGTCATAGAATTTAGGCCTCATCTTTGAGCCCTTTGGGGTAATGTCCTGGGGTGACACCAATCTCCCCCCTCCAAATAGTAGCTGCATACCAATATTTATTGCGGGAATAAGGAAGCAATTGCTTATGCCATAAGTTACCTATGAGACGACAGAGAGTTGGAGCTGAAGCCATGATGGCAGTAATGCAGATGTGGAGTATACTCATTCATTATGTTTGGGGTCTCCAATTATAGAGGGCCAGACATGCAAGGATTTCCTCCAAAGCTAAGAGGAGCATTAACTGATGCATTTGGCGGCTTCTACGTGCACGATCCCATTTCTCGGTGCTATAAAACCCAGTACGAGAATCGATGAAGCCTGGATCTCACTGTACATGTACTGGGAGAGAGATCTTAATAAATGAACAGGAATTGTAGGGACCAGGCTAAAGTCTGACAGCAGGTGCATCCGTGCTCCTCCCAGATAGGAAGTGCCCTGTGTGCTAAGGTTTGGAAAGCAGAACTCGTGTCAAAGAGACTTACCATGAGGGGCACTGTCACAGCAAAAAGGCAGGGGCACGGCCAAGACATGTGTTCCAGAGAGAGGCAATTTTGATATTAAAATAGACTGTTTTATTTCTAGTGGATTTCTGGCTTTTGCTATGATTGAGACTAATCTTAATCTCATGAATGGCAGTACAAATATAGAAAGACTCCTCTCTGTCACTGTGAAAACATTGCCTGTTCAATCTGGAGCTGAGGCGGCTTTAGAAAACGTGGAGGATACAAAGCAGACTGAGACTACCGGACTGCACAGAGCACCGAGCACCATTCACTCCCCATTCTGGGGACACACAGCCTTACACATGCATGCCTATAGGCTTCCACTTTGAAACACAACTCAGACATCTGCTACACCAAATTAAGTATTGCAGGATTTTTTTTAAGTCCAACTGTATTGAGTAGCATCTAATATGTAATTAATTAACAGGCATATTGCCTAATTATACAAAACACCACTTTAAAACCTTAACTGTTGGATAGTTCCATATTTCTTTCCACCAATAAAGTGGTAAAGTTAGGGCTCATGGTTTTGGCCCTTCTGTATATACCTTCCAATTGCCCTTGTGTTGGGATGCAATACATACCAAACAGGTATTATCAGGGCCAGTCAGACCCCCACAGCTGATGACCAACTGTCTCAAAGCTCCATCCAGTTCTTTTTGCATAATGGTTGTTATGTGGGAGTTGACAATTTCCTTCTTGCCCACCAGTATTCACCAGTTAAATTAGAATTTTCCAAACGAGGATCTTGAAGAAATATGAGTTCAATCTCTGAGAGAAGGTGATCCAAGACTCTCCTACGAGAGTCGGTGGCTGTGACTCCCATACTCTTTCCCACTCCACTTTTCACAAGAATTGTCCATGGCTGCATTTAGTTCTTTCATTTTTATTAACTCTTTAACTTCTGCAATGACGCTGTTATTAGGTAGGTCTTGAGAGCCTACTTTCATAGGAGGGCAGCCAGAGCTGTGTACCTCACTGATATGTCATAGCCCCAAAGTTGCAATGAGACCTTGTGATTCTGGCTCTCACGGACCCTTTACTCCACCAGGTGGTTCATAACCCCAGTGTCCTGCTGTTTAATGTGGTACTCTGAAACCGTTCTGTACCACGAGTCAGCTTATTAAGACTAAAACTAGCTGGGAGGTGGTTAATCCAGCATTCAGGAGGCAGAAGCAAGCAGGTCTTTGTGAACTAAAAGTTAACCTGAACTACAGAGTGACTTCCAGGACAGCCAGAGCTGCACAGTGAAACCCTGTCCTGGAAAAAAAAAATTCCCAGGAAAGCTGGAAAGACTAACAAGGCGCTTATAGTGTTAGCTATATACTAAGCCCAATTTCAAGGACTTTCTGGTGGTTAAGTAATTTAATCTCCTGACTATACTGCGGAGAAACAAAGCTAACAAATAGATTTAAATCAAATGTCATGCGTAACCAATTGGAAATAGTTACTTGAAGAATTGTTTGGAGGAGCTGAAGAGATGGCTCAGCAGTTAAGAACAATGGCTATTCTTCGGGAAGACATGAAGCTGCCCATAACTTCCGTTCCAAGAGAATCCAACACCCTCTTCTGGACTCCACAGGCACCAAGAGTGCAAGGATGCAGAGACATGCACACAGGCAAAAGATCCAGACTAATAAAAGAGGAACGCTGAAGACGTCCCTTCAGACAGTGAGTGCTGTGCATTCCCTCTGAGGTACAGGACAGAGCGCCGCCGTGTGCCGCAGAGGTGCCCTCTAAGAAGCACATCACCTAACCTGCCCTGACGCTAACGTTCTCTGACTCTGTGAAGCAGATTGGTTCTTCATAGCCACCAGGCGTGAGCACTAGGAACTTAAACCATTAAGTAGAACATGACTAGCGCGGACCCCCACTCCCCTCCTCTCTCTTCTGTTTTTTGTTTTCTCTTTCCCGAAGGCTCACTGGGGTCTCTCGCTAACCACGTCTCTCTGCGACTGGTTCCTGATGCACACACCCAGTTTGTGCCCAGTCTGTTAGAAAACAGCTCTGCCGAATGTCTGGCAGCTGCAAACCCCAGTGTGTGCTGCTTGCCCACTGCCAGCCACAAAGTTGCCAAAACAAGACCAAGAATAGGTTGTACCTTTTGCCAGCTGTTATTCTGAGCGCCAAACTCTTGTGACAAAAAAAAGAAAAATAACTTCCAAGGGTGACTACGGAGAAGATCTATCAACAGGGCGCGAGAGAAGATGGAAATGCTGGTGTTGACGGATGGGCCTCTTCTGGCCTCCTGGCCACCCTGTCCTCTTCAGACCCACGGCCATTGTTCACCGCAAGCTCTATAATTCCCACAGAGAAGCCGACATCTCCCGCCCTCCTGGGGTAGTACGATAGACTCCACAGAGAAAAGCAAGTGTGGACTTAAATCTTGGCTTTACTACTTACTAGCTGAGCAAATGAGCCTCATCAAATTCTCCGAACCTCAGCTTCTCCATCTATAAAATGGGTCACCAGAGTACCAATTACCAAAGAAATTCTATGAAAGCAAGAAGCCAGTGGTTAGGAAAGGAAAGTCCTTTGAGGCCTGAAGAATGACATAAAGACATCGATTTTTCTCTCTTCGTTGCTCTAGAATTTTCCCTTTCCAGTCTGTCCCTTTGGGTTTTTTTTTTTTACTTAAGCATGAAAATTGGCATAAGATATTGAATGCATAGCTCTTACATAACCCCAACTTGGACGGCTTCTCCACGGCTTCCTATGCATACCCAGTACACCTCGTTGCACGGGGCCATGAGGATTGGCATGTGTAAAGAGTTCCAATTACTCCCTGCCAGTACTGCTGCTCTGAACGAAAGCCAGTTCTTTCTGAAAAGACATCCCCAAAAGCACTGGACAAACAATTCTCCCATCAAAGCTGGGCTTGTATTGGTTTTCAGAAGCACAAATGATGCAGACCGACACCAGATGTCTTACTCAAGATTTGCGTTCAGAAGAGCCCACTGGGGTGACCTGCAAGACGACTGGAAGGGATTCAAATAGAAGCATGGTGTGCTATATTTATTCAGAGGAAACTGCATTTCCCAACGTGAAACGACCCCACTCACAGTCATGCCGAGTAGGACTGTTTTTTCGCAATGGCAATCACGCTGTGAGTTCTCTGACCTCTTACAAGCCCAGAGTCACAGTGGAGAAAGCGCTGCACGTTTGTCTTCATGGAAAGGCTGGTGTAGAGGGCAGCCTCTGACATCCGTCCCCTGATGTGTGATGACACCGGAAGCTTTGTCTGGCTATCTGGATTCTCCTTTCATATGATTTTACCAAGCCTTCCCTATGAAGTCGGAGTCCAGCACTGCTGGCACCAGTGAGCCATGCGACTGTCCTGCAAACTCTCTCTCCACGGTCGTCTGAGTGGCACCGACCTATCTCCTGGCGTCTTCAGACCAGATGACTGAGCCGTAGCAGCAGTCGCTTGTTTTTTGTCTAAACACTGGCTTTGTGTAGTTTAATTTATTCACACAGAATCATTCTTTCCCTCCATAGATAAAATTCTGCATCACCCCATACCAATCTCCTTCTGATACACGTGGATGCCTACTGAGCACTTCTAGAGCAGCCCTGGACAGGTGCCATTGTGGAGAGACACCAAGTCTCATTGTGCCTTTAGGATACAGTGTGGCCTCGCAGTAACAGTACCAACAGCAGTACCCCCAGTACCCTTGGGGGTAGATGGCAGGCATGACTTCAGTTGGCAGCCATTTCTTACCCTTAAAAATGTACGAAAAGCACATCTTTGCCCTGTACCACTACCAAGGCTCCATAGAAGGCCGCCATGCCCTGCAATTACAAACATCAAAGAACTTCCTGAATCAAGGGCAGTTGTTGAAACCACTGTGTAGTTACCACCTTTGATGGAAAGAGCTCGCTTTCCCCTAACTGGAGCTTTAAAGAAGAAACTGGTATTGCATGCTAAGTCTGTTTGGGATGGACAGTCCATAGACTATAGTACAGTATAGCACAGCATAGCATAGTATAGTATAGAATGGTAGAGTATAGAGCAATGAGGTTCGCTGTCTTTTGGCCTTGGAAAAACACCACTCCCCATTCCTCCTCAAATGTCCCCTCTAGCACACATGGATCTATTTTCAACAGCCCTAACCTAGTCTCACACCAAAGGCTGACCAACACTAAACCCAATGCAAATATAGGAGCAGACCCTCTGGGATCTGCAGCTGACCCGAGACCACCCAAAGACCACTCATTTGATCCAGCATATAAACTTCATCTAATACTGATTATCAACACTGAACTTAGGCTCCAACGTAGACCGTAGCTTCACCGCCCACCCAGAAGCAGAGGCCATGCAGCAAACGCTGCCGGTGATGCTGGCATCTTTACAACATTGCTCCTCTTAGTTCTCATTCTGAAGCTTCACGGCAGGAGTTAGCATCCATCATAACCGATAGCCTAGGGCATACCTCTCAACTCGGAGTGGGGACCAGGGCTTGAAGGCAGGGATTTCCGCATGCTAAACATGTGCTCTGCCCCACAACCGTAACCCCGATGTCCTCAGTCTGAATCTAATGTAACTAACCATTGGCAGACTCCTGACGACCGCAATAACCAGACACTAGAGCTTTATGAGGATGAAGGATTGTTGAATGGTTCAAGGAGCGAGCGTAAGGAAAATTAACCCTCAACCGTAGGTTTATTGTGTTTCAGAGCAGAAACTGTAGCTATCGAGTGTGGCTGGTTGTTTGACAACTGTAATTTTCCTTTTTTTTTTTTTTCTTTCTTCTCAGGAGGACAAGAAGATCTCATTCTCTCCTACGAACCTGTCACAAGGCAGGAAAGTAAGTTTCCAGGCAAGCCCAACTTTCTGATTCCCAAGCTATGACAAGATGACACCAAACTCAGCTTAATACTCAGTTGCCCCAGATCGGGGCTCAGTAACAGCTCCTAGGAGGACAGAACAGTCCTTGAGAGGCATGGCCTCGCTAAGAAGGCAGATGTCTTACTCACTTAGGAACCTGAGCCGAAGGGCTGATGAAGAACAGCCCCAGGAAAGCTGACGCTAAGCCCAGTTTTGAAAAGGACTTCCTAGCAGACCTCAGAGGCCGGCCCCCTGCAAACTGCTCCAGGGGTCTGAGCTTCTGTAGACGTTTCTTCAGAGGCTGATGGTGGCTGACAGAGATGTGGCAGAGAGTTGCACTACATAGACTCAGGAATCAGGGAGCTCCCAGAGGACAAATAGTGTCCTCTGAGGAAAAGGAAGGACAGATGCGTGAGGTGCCACTGCTACTAATGATGACTTTAAACAATGACCAGAAAGCTGGTTGGTTCCCCTGCCCCCCAGGCTCCCTATTTCTGGTTTTGACATAGGGAGGTAAAGCCCAAGAGAAGACACAAAGTTCCGCCTCCATTTCATTGGTGGAGCTGCTCTATTCCCTGTGAGCAAATCCCAGAAAGCAGTAAAGCCAATATCCGAGGGCTAAACATCAGCCATTCTGCATGAGGGTTTTGTGGGTCGTTTAACCCCAAGTGAAGGAAGGCCTTAGCATTTCTTAGCTGCTGGTGGTTTGCCCTGAAGAATCACCTCTGCAGAGGCGCGGGGCTGCATCCGCACTGCAGGGTTTGAAGTGACCCTCAATATCATCTTCCTTTCCTGTCCTCAGTCAGCTACACCCGACCAGTGATTATCCTGGGCCCCATGAAGGATCGAATCAATGATGACTTGATATCTGAATTTCCTGATAAATTTGGCTCCTGCGTGCCCCGTAAGTATCTCTTTTCTTTTCTCTGGGCCCACATTTGGCTCCTTGGTGGGCGATCAAGTGTAATCTTGCTCCTCAAGGAAGAGTCTCTGGTGTGATACAAATATCATCAGGTACCTGTTATCTGAGCACCCGACTTAGGGCAACTGCCTAACCCTTCTGATCTGGGGTGCCACACATTGTTTTCTATTGATAAGGACTGACCTTCATCTACAGAAGACAGCAAGGCCTTCTGGAACCTCCCTGAGCACTTGAGGCAACATGCTATTTATAAGCTTCAGTGGGATCTTCTAGATTGATTGAACCACCGCTATAGCATCTTTACCCATAGACCAGGGACGATCAGAAACACAACCTCACATTGAAATCATCTCTGGATGACTTAGTCCAGTGTGTCAATCCTCAGCCAAGTAGTTCTGGGTTATCAGAAGGTGTGTGGAGGATGTGTGTGTGTGTGTGTGTGTGTGTGTGTGTGTGTGTGTGTGTGTGTTCTCTATCCTGTAGGGCCACTGCAGATTTCAGACTTTGAGATTATAGACAACTAGATTTCCAACTCCCTCTGAACACAGTCATTAATAGCCAGTCTGTCTTACCTTTCTCAAACACCACTACCACACTTCTCCTCTCTGTCTTCCCTCTCACACAAAAATGACCTGTGCATGGAGATGGGGCCACTGGGCAGTCTGAGTTATTAGATAGAGGCTCTTCCATCTGATCCCGACAAATAGCTCCTCTCTATGAGCTTTTAGTTATTGCTGCTATTGTTTTAGATTTATAATTTCAAATATCTCAAACATTTCAGTATACAGATTCATTCTAGGGTCATACGAAAAGAAAGAATTCCTTGTATGCAGCACACAGAAAGAGGGTGGGGAAGGTTGCTGGACCTCAAGAGAAGGTTCCCAGCAGGGACTCTGGAAAGAGGCAGGACAGCTCCTAAGAATGTCTTAGGTGGGAAGAGGCAAAGGAAAGCCTGGCTTGCTTTCAGCATCTGACATTTGAGAGAAGGAAATCAGAACCTTAAATAGAGTTGTGTTTACCCCTCTACCCTGCACACACTCCCCTTTTTCTTTTTTCATGGCTAGCACTATTCTATGGGAATAAGTACATACTGATTGTACAGGATTTGAAAAATTATAAAAAAATAAGTTAGCCAAAGAATTGAGAAGTATATAGAATGTCACTTAATAACCAGAAACAAAATCATTCTTCCTCCTATACACTTTTCATGTACTTATATCTTTAAATCTAAGTTGTTATAGAACAATTTAAAATAACTATATTCTCAAAAAAGTTCATAGACATTTTTGGTTTCTCCTCCTTTACAATACTATGGGTTAAAATAAAATGTAATTTTGTGTTATAAATTACTATAATCAATATATTTGGGGATACGTTTATCTTGACTTTTGATCAATTTTAAGATTAAATGTTTTTTAAAGTGATTCCAAGATTGGATTAGGTCAACTGTTTAAAGTTGTATAGCTAAGATCATTTTCCTTTTGTCATCTTAATAAAACATTGACATAACATTGTTGTATTTGCTGACTTTCGGTCCCAGAACTATTATTCCCTTACTATATATAATTTTAAGTACCTAAACATTCATAATTGCATGCCCATCTTTCCCCCTAATTCTCATGGCACGTTTTCTCCCATCTTTGATTTATTTCTTCATAATCTATTTTGTTCTATGTGTTTGTAGTGCTAAATATTTTGAGGCAGTGGTTATGTGGGGACAGGATCTCACTATGTAGTTCCGACTAGCCTGGAACTTATGACCCTTCCACCGTTGACTCCTGGGTGCTAGAAGTGCATGTGTGCAGACTCATATTTGGGTGCTGGGCCATATTGTTGAGTCTGGACTTTGTTATTGTTATATATTTTTATAAAGCGATAATGTACTGACAGGTCAGCTTGTTGTGTGTATAACTTGCTTTAAAAGCAGGCCTCAAGTCAGCCTAGAGGAGCCTTCCAGGTGTGGCTAGATGTTGTGGCATTTTCTACCACCCCAGTGCCCGATTTTCTGTGAGCCGCAGTATCTTCTAAAGCTGAGTGGCCTCAGCATTGAGGCAGAAAGGAAGGATACAGATTTTCCCTCACACGTTTCTCATCCCTTATAATCACAGCTGCGCCCTGTCTATTGTCTGATACCTCAAAGAAGTTATTTCTTGTGTTTTGTCCTGTTTTATCCTTACTTATATGGGGTGGTAAGACTGGTATTCATTACTGTGCCATGCCCATCTTATTACACATGACACATCTCCATCTGTGTCGAAGGAATCGTGGAGAAACTCTCAGACAGAAAAGAAGTTCATAATTATGAATGCATCTTACTCTCACTGTTTCTTATTTTACAAAGATACTACGAGGCCAAAGCGTGACTACGAAGTCGATGGCAGAGACTATCATTTCGTCATTTCTCGAGAGCAAATGGAGAAGGACATCCAAGAGCACAAATTTATCGAAGCTGGCCAGTACAACGACAACTTATATGGAACCAGCGTGCAGTCTGTGAGATTTGTAGCAGAAAGGGTAGGTCTGCCTGTGTCCGCCGGTCCTCTTGAGACTCTCTGAAGAAGGTTCTGGTAGCAAACTTTTCTGATCATTGCTCTTTCCTGATTGCAAACTAATATCCATGGAGAGAATTACCTTAAAGCAAATGCCATTGATTTCTGACTACCTTGTAGATGGAGGGAAGGGAAGAGACCCTTTAGCCCAGACAGTTCACAGCCTGTGGTGCATGGGGACTTGGTTTGTTCTTGGCTCACTGTCCCAACCCAGGTAAATAAGGCTGAACTTTTTAAGGAAGCTTTGCTAACCCTTAGTTGCCTGGTTACTCTGAGTTTTTCTCTCTGGAAACTTAACATTCTCAAGGTGGAAGGGAGACCCATGGGAGAATGATCCAGCCTGTTGCTGCTGGAAATTTTTTGGCTTAGAATGGGCATTGATGCTGAAGTTCCCTTCTTCCTGTTCCTGACAGTATCAAAAGCATGGGAAAGAGATAAATATTGAAGGGAGACTAGGTAGGAAACCACTTTATATATAAAGATGTGTGGTTAATCTATAGCAGGAAAACAGCTGTCTGTTTGGCTCAGTGTGATCCCTCCTTTTGATGTTAATCCCAATTTTGATATAGTAATGAATTAAGCAACTGTCCTCCTCCACAGAGACCCAAAGTAACAGGTAGATCATTCCATTTTAAGGTGAATGGGGTAAGAGAAAACTGGCGATCAGAAAGAAAGAGGAGAACCATACATTCACAGACCTGAGACAATAGCTGGAAGCAGAAACAAAAGATCTTGGCAACAGCATCTCCGAAGCCAGGGGCGAGGTGTCTCCTCTTGGCAGGAGTAAGCATTACAAGGCGCTTCTCAGCAAACTAGACTCTGGCAACGCTACTACAGGAAAATTCCACATAGATAAACAGCCTGGAATCTAGACAGTAGCCTTGTTTTGGAAAAGAATTTCACATCTTTCTCCAGAAGACATCCAACTTGCCAGACCCAGGAACCACTTGGAGAACAGAGCTCCTGTCTGGATCTGGACTCCCCTAGGGGTCAGAGAATCTTGCGTTTTCCCTTCTTGAAACCCCACATTCATTCTACTACTCAACTGAATCAGGGGGTAGCTGGCTTGTGATGTCAGCTGAACCCAGCAGAGTGACTGTGACCTATAACCTGCACTGTAAGGGACGGGTGTGGAGACACAGACAAGAAAGACAATGATGTCCTTATTAGGAGAAGGCTACATCATGTGTGGCTTCATGCCAGTGCTGGGACTGAAGGCAGACACTGGGTGGTGCTTGAGAAATTTTGCAATGATGTCACATTGACCATCGGCAAACAGGGATAGGGCACAAAAAAACAAAATTTTGCCTGGATATATTCCTGTCCACTCAGCCTCACTCCAGGGCAGGCACTAGAGCTCAAGGGGAAAACTGACAGCAAAAGCCCCAGCTGTCCCATCACCAAGGACAACGCTGTTCTCAAGAGGACCCCTGACTAACCCTGGCAGACACCATGCCTTCAGCCGAAGGGAAGAACACCATGATTCCTGCCCCTGTCCTCCGGCAGTCACACCGCTACCCACCATTCCACCTTGTCAGGACCAGCAGTGACCAGCACAGAGGGTGTTTCTGTAGTCCACTGTCCCCTCTCCCCATGCAGTCCCCTAGGGTCATGCCACTGGTCAGAGGAAAAATGCTTTAGAACCTCATCAGCCAGTGGTACCCTGGATCACTGATAGCAAGAACACCACCAGCGACAGAGGAAACGCCTCTCGCTTACCAGGCAAAAACTCATGAACATAAAATAACTTTTAAAATTTCAAACAAAAACTGTAATTGATAGCCTCAACAGCTAATTAGATCCATGGATGAAGGTTATATGAATAGCAAGATGAATTTTTAAAGACAGCCCAGTGAAACAAAACTTACTTCAAGACATTGGCTGGGACCTTAAACACTGGTAGATGAGATTACATCAAGCTGTTTGTACACATCAAAGGGAACCATCAACTAAGGAGACAATGCGCAGGAGGGGAGAAAATAATTGCCAGCTAGACAGCTGACATAGGGATGGGCTCCAACATGTGTACAGGGACGCTAAACACATGACAAATGATTGTAATTGTTTTAAATAGGCAAATGGTATGAACAGACACTTCTCAAAAGAAGACATTAGATGACCGGCATATATGTAAATGGTGAATTCATGAGAAAAATAAGTCAAAGCCAACTTAACTGCACCCCAGCAAAAATGACTATTATGACAAAAGGAGGACAGAAAGTCAAAGAAATTTTGATATTCTACTGGGAAAATGTAAACTTAGCACAGCCTTCATACAGAGCAAAATGGGGGACTTCAAAACTGAAGCCAGGGTGGAGATGGCTCAATGGTTAGGAGCACTTGTGGCTCTTACAGAGAACCTGAGTTTGGTTCCCAGCACTATGCCAAATGTTCACAACCGCCTGTAACTGCAGCTCCAGTGGATCCAACACCCGTGACCCTGCCAGCACCTACGCTGATGAGTACATACCCCTACATACATACACATAATTAAAAACAATAAATCTTGAAAATTAGATATACCTGAACTATCTGTCCTGCTCTGGCTACAGATCCAAAGAGGAAAATGAGCACATCAAAGGAATTTTTCCAGCTCTGTGGTGCTTGTGGCAATGTCAGTAATATAATAGCTAAGACACAGAATCAGCCTAGGTGTCTGTAACAAATGAATAAAGGAGATCTAATAATGATGATGATGATGATGATAGATAGATAGATAGATAGATAGATAGATAAGTAGGTAAATAGATAAGTTGGTAGACAATCACCGCAATTAAGTATTTTTCAGGCCTAAAGAATGGAAACATACCATCTGTGGCAAAGGGATGGTTATTACATAAATGAGATAAGCCATTCACACAAAGACAAGTCCTACATATTCATTCTCTTTCATGTTAAGGAGTATTGGCCTGAAAGAATAGTAATTGCTAAGGACAGAGAGAGGTGTTTGGTTAGGAGAGGGTATATACTTGACTCGGCCAGTGCACTGTCAGCATCTATGGACGTGCTGTACTGCACCCTATTAATGGCTATATCGATGTCTTCACTAACATATCAACATGAGGAAGTGTAATGTCTGATTACATAGTAGTACATGTCTAGTTTTCTCTTCCAAATAGCTAGAGTCTGTCAAGCTATATGGATCCTTTCTAGTCAGTAATCTGGAAAAGTAGGTCTTTTTTCCTCCTTGAACATGTAAACGCAGCTGTGTTAAAACTGGGAAAATACTGGCTAGTGCGTGAGGAAATAGCACACAACATCTTACGTGTAACCAGTGCACTTCAGAGAGCAAACCTGGAATCTATTACTTATGTGGTCAGGCATGAATCCTCTTGTGCATCTCATGAGCATCCCAGTGGTCACTGGACTCTTCCATTTTGTACACACATGAACTGTCCCTGTATTCTTGGTTTAGGACTGCTGCTACCTACATAAAAATGCCTTTTTTTTTCTTGTGTAAAGATCTCCTAGCCTCAGAATAATAAGGCCACTTCTCTCCAGGAGGTAGGAGGTGATGTGGCAAATGACTCCTCTTCCAGAAATATTTTATGAAGCAGCTCCCGGCACTGAGCATCCAGCGCTCTGGAAGCCAGGTGAAATGAGGTGTGCTGTACAGGAGCGGGCTTTTGATCTGCTAACAAACAAGCTTACGCACCCACTGCAGAGTCAGCATTTGACAATGTAAAACTAAAGCCAACGCTTCTATGTCTGCCTTCCAACATATATGTATCACGACAAAGTGCACATAAGAACTGAGCAAATGTATGGAATTGCTTGAGTTCCTGTGATCGCCATCCTTACAGGTTTCACACTTATGCAGAATAGGAGGATGAAAGGGCTGCTCCAACCTGCAGTTCTGCCCACGCTCCGGAGCTGGGTTTCAGGCTTCCTCCCAGTGAATTTAGGACCAGTAGTGCTTAGTCTTCTCCTGTAAAATGCAGTCAGCATTACCTACATCACAGACCTACAATTGCTCTTTGGAGTTTCGGGTTTTTTTTTTTTTTCAGTCTTTAAAAACCCAGCATTTCATACCTCTCTCTAAAACATGCTTTAGTTTATTTCACTGGACACTGGCCTTTTCTCTTGCTGTTTCTAACCTGGTGTTTTTCTTACCCTTCTGCCAGGGCAAGCACTGTATACTTGATGTGTCGGGAAACGCGATTAAACGGTTACAAGTGGCCCAGCTCTATCCCATCGCCATCTTCATAAAGCCCAAGTCCCTGGAGCCTCTGATGTAAGTAGAGGGCCGAAGTCCTCACGCAGCTCCCTCCCTGCTCCAAGGGCACAACCGACCACAGCAGTTTGTCACAGAGGATCATGGCGGGAAATGTCAGTGCTGATCGTTGAGCATTTCCTGTTGAGCAATTAATATATATATTAAACTTTTTTGAGTCAGTAATTCTTTATGATCCTACAAATTGCTTTAACCTGTATATTTTCTGTTTGTTGGTAGTTTCATTTGGTCTAAGGGGTTTTTGGGTGGAGGGGGCAATTATTTGAGTTTCTGGTTTTGGTTTTGGCAAATGACAAGTGACTCATTTTTGCATTGTCTCTTAACTCTGAGAACAGTTTTACAGGTAAATCTTTAAATGTGAGAGTTTAGTTTTGTTTTGTTTTTATAGAGGGAACAAAGAACACTTCCTAATCTTTCCATTGAATTTTATATCGCCCTTTATAGAATTCTGACTCTATGTTAAAACATACAGACTATGTTCTTAGCAGTCTTCCCTAGTGGCATGCCTATAATATCCTTAATAGATCCATCTCCTCATCTCTGCACATACATCAGCATGGGAAGTGCATGGTTCTGATTGTTTTTCAAAGTATTTCCAAAGGTCTTGTAAAATACCTTTCTTCAAATAACAGTAAACAAACTAGGCAGATATTCATGATCCCCCAGAACACCCCTCTAGGCAACCCTACATAATGGTGAAACTACTATCGGTAATGGTGGCAGAGCAGAGAGGTCACGGCAGAGATGTGAAAACCGGACAGGCCAGGCCAGCTCTCTGCTCTACCAATGATCCATCATCTAACCCCAGCACAAATTGCTTGAGCTCCCTAAGATTAGATCCTCAACTCTAAACTAGACATTAACGTGTGCCTTGTAGAGTGAGAGCTGAAATGAGGTCATAGAGGCTCAGATTCCTTGTCAGAATTAGTACTTGGGAAATAGTACTCTTGCAAAAGATACGAGGTTGCTTTTTACGGAGCATTAATCCAGTCTTCTCATGACAAAACACATAAGCAGATCTCAGGAGAATGCCAGAGATGACGTCTGTTACAAGAGCCTAGCTCGAATGCTGCCCCCAGGCCTCAGAAGAATGCTGTTGGACTGAAACATACAGAACACACTGAAAAATTATGCTTATGGGAAGACTGTTAAAATAGAAAGTATTTATTCCCAGAGATTAATGCCATTGTTTTCTGAGGGTTGCAGCTACCTGTCTGGTCTCCTCTGAGACCAGACAATTTGTCTGGCTGCAAACTGAGCCACCGCAGTTGGAGTGACAGCTGTGAGAATTAACATAACCTAAAAATGCATACTTGATCTCTGGGGAAATCACCAGAGTTATAGCCTAAAAGCAAAGTATATCCCCCGAAGTAAAGGCAAACAAGGGTTTTTGCCAAGATAAGTCAATAAAATAAGGAGCCGATGGGAAAACATCAACCACAATTACCACATAGGAAACTGTATTGTTGATAAAAGAGCCATCCTGTTACTACTCCAACAGCATGCGATAAACTTCTCCTGAGCTGGGTATCACATAAAGTTAGTTAACGACCACAAATGTCATGATGGAGAGTGATTTATCACCTGTAGACAGCCCACACAAAGCTATGCAATGCTAACATTAAGAACAGAAAGGTAGCGATTGCCTCTTGGGAACAGCATCATAAAAGCTCATGTCAGAAATAGAAATTAGTCCACGTCACAAACACACAGCAGGACCAATGACTGCCTAGGGAAGTTAAGCCAGAGGGACCAGGAGCACATTAGCCCAGCGTGACTCTGGGAGACAGCCCATCTGGTACTCAGTGGAAGAGCTGCTTCCTTCCTTGACTACCAGATGACTTATTTAGTTCTGCCTTAGGGTCCTGTCACAGGTACTTACCACCAAGGAAAACTAAGCATGCCAAAGGCTAGATGCCACAATGAGGACAGTGTCTTTGGCATAATTTACTGCGGCCATATTCATGAGTCCCCACTTCAGTGGTAATGGCGCCCAGCCCCATGCGCTCTCATTCCTAAAGGCTGGCTGTTTGTGGTTCACTCTCTCCTGGAGCTTTTACTTCAGGAGCCATGCTGTCCTGAATTGCCCATCCCCCAGGAAGGGCCAAAGCTCGGTCAGCTGGAAGACCAGCATGGCAGCTGTCACTGTGAGACAGGGACACGCCATAGCACACATTACTTCCCGTGTGCACCATCCACATCCACAGGGCTTAGGAACAAGCACACAGCTGCCTCTTCTGGGGAACATCAATTCAAGGACATATATGAAGGAGATGTTTCCATAATGGGCTGCCTTCTGACTTCCGGACCTTCCCCATAGCGATGAGACGCTTTTCTGTGCCTGTGCACCCTACCCCCGCCAAAGGTCTTTTATGGCTTTGCACTCATGATGCATTGTGTTTACCCCTGCATGATTCTGTGCCACAATTATGTTTATCTGCCTCAACCACCATTTCGTCCTTCCGTCACTCATCCAACAAGTGTTGAATCAGCCTAACGAACAAGCTGTAGGTTCCTCCCTCAAGGAGCTCGGAGCTTAGCCATGAACTCTAAGGAATGTGATGGGGCTATTCATAGCAACCAGATTTAGGAAACACCTACTTTGGACATCATCTCTCTGTGGCATCCAAATTCATGCCCAACCTCCTTCTTCGCAGAGCGAAGCTTGGTATCTTTTGAAACATGGCTATCACATGACCTCTGTTAGACTGTGGTGGTGGAAAGAGGCTCAACTTCCTACTCTAGGATCCTGATTACCTTACAGATAACTTAGGGGTATCCCCTGACTACTCCAAGTCCCCATAACTTGCACTAGCAAAGGGATTGACTAAGCCCAGGCATTACAAACCTGGGATCACTGGCCCCTAAGTGGCATGCAAGGCTTGGGTGCTTCAGAAATGTACCTAACCTGCCAAACAAACATGTCTATTCATTTGGTTGAACCTTTACTTTCAATGCCTAGAGACCCTGAGACGATAACACTAACACTGGTTAGGAATCAATAAGTTCACTGTAGAAAGAATAGAGAAATATCCGTTTTCCTCCCACCTTCTTTGTCCTTGAGCCTAGGTAGCGCTTACATTATCTTATGTTCAAACAACATGTCTACATCATTAATAGACCCAACTAAGAGTCCTGGGCATAATTTCTTTTTAGTCATTTTCCTATCTGAAGAAAATCAAGCAGGCATCAGAGTTTCTTTTTGTTTTGGCTTTTAAATGTATTCTAATTTAGAAATGGTAAGTGTATGTGTTGATGGGATATGGTATAATAGTTGTATTCATAAGCACAAAGTGTAATGGTCAAGTCAGGTCCCTCAAACATTTGTTGCTTGAGTCTAATCTTTAGATCATTCCAAATCCCTATTAGTTGCTTTGAAATCAATTGTTGTCAACCACATTTACCATAGTGTGCTATTAAACATTAGAAACTATTCTATCTGACTGTACTCTACATCTACTATGCTAGAGATCCTTCTACACCAAGCTCCTCCATTCTAGCTCACCATTTGACTAAATTGCTTGACTACAGTCTTATTTGAAAATATTGTGGTCCCAGCACTTTTCAGTTACTCCGTGTCCACTGGAGTGTGCAACTTCAGCAGACACGTCCACTGTCATCTGATCATAAGAACGGGATGTTCTAGTCACTACAGGCCTGCCTCAACATTTGGAGTTGAGTAGTTAAAACTGCAGAATGCCTCAGGGGTCTGCTCGACTTAATGTAAGGCTCCAGAAGCTGTGTTTCTGCTCACCAGATTTGCATGGTGGGTGAACAGCAGACCTTAAGAGGGATGACGTCAAGAAACTAAACCTTTTGTAAGATTAGGATCTGAGAACAGGCAAATCCGGTCATCTCGGATATGATGCTGCCTAACAACGCCAGGTACACTCCCCTCTTCCCTCCCTCTGACCACTTCTGGAAGACTGTCTTCAATTCTGTGTCTTACATATATTTTAGAGATGTGGAAATCTACCCAAAGGAAGTTCAGGTTTAGAAATACAACAAAGAAGTAGCTGAAGGACAGTCTGTTCTGATGAAGCAGAACCTCAAACGACACACAAGTGCTTCATTTAAATACTCCAAGGCCTGCTGGAGAGGAAGTTCAGTCTCGCCTTAGGGACTTCAGGGACCAAACAGACCACACCAGGGTCTACAGATCACAAAGAGACAGGTTCCACTTCCATCCAATAGTACACACGATGCCAGTCCTCCAAGAGAGTGGACGCCCTGGCAAGGAACCCTCAACAGCTGAAATGGTTCCACCAACAATGAGTCCTAAATGAAGCTTCAACAGCTACTAAGATTAAACAATGCCTCCTATGGGGTTCTTTTTTGGCTATGCATTTTTAAATTGGGGGATAAAGTATAGTCTTTTCGTGTCCTAATAGCAAGCCCTCATTTTCTCAGGGAGATGAATAAGCGTCTAACAGAGGAACAAGCTAAGAAAACCTATGATCGGGCAATTAAGCTAGAACAAGAATTTGGAGAATATTTTACAGGTAAGTTTCCTTGGCCCAGATACTACAAGAAAAGAAGATAAGTTGACTGCTATTGTACTTAGAATAGGTTCCATGCCTGCTAAAGCTAGGCCCCAAAACTTTCTAGTTGAGATTGCCTTGTAATTTTATTTTTTTTTATGCTGTCTGCCTTGTCCAATTGGTTTAGGGCTCTGGATTTGCTCCTCTCTGAGCCAGCTGTTAGCTTACCCCTAGTTCTCCACTGGCTCTAAAGCACGAATGGCAGATGCCCCTGAGCTATCTTCCCACTACTAAGGAGATCTTAGGCATGATGCCTCATGAAACTATCTCCCTGATAGATTCAGAAAACTGCAGAGGTTGAGTCTCAGACCTCAGCCTGTCTCCTCAGTCAGGAGCATGAGGAGGACACACTTGGAGATGTTTCAGTTAACGCTGTCGCAAGTTCAATAATAGCTTTTGATTTTTTAAAAAATGTCTTTGGCAACATGCTGTTTTCGGGATAGAATACATATTTCTTATGGATGTCCTGAGCTCTCTCTTCTTCCCTGTATTCATGAAACACTGGTTAAACCCAGAGAGAAATCAGCCTTGGTGAAATTTGCCTTGTTGCTGATTCTTAATGATTTGTCAACAAGATACTGAGTTTGTGATGTAGCTTAGTAGTAGTGTTTAACTGGCTTGCACAAGGCGCCAACTTTGACTCCTCCAAACACAACACCCTCTAAAAATAACATTAAATATAACAACTTCCCTCATGAATTACTGGCATGAAATGAGATGGGTTTTGTTGTAGTTATTTTGAATTGTATTCAGAACACTAAAGGCACCAATAACAGGGCAGTCTACAATTATTCTTACTTAAGTTAATGCTAAGGTTTCTCTCAGTAATGTGAGTGATACGTCACTCTAAAAGACAAAAGAGCATCCGGATGGGAAAAATCAAAGGGCTGCAGAGATGGCTCAGCCGTTAAGAATACTTGCTGCTCTTCCAGAGGACCAAAGTTCACTTCTGAGGTGGGAAAATTAAGTCAAAATAACGACTATTTGACTCATAGTTTGCACTCATGGGTTGAGTATCATTAGTATGATCTGAAGATTGCATTTGAAACCAAAAGATACAAACCCTATTTCAATAATAGTTTGTCTTGAAGCCTTGGTGACAGATGGGTAATGCTGATGTTTTGGAGACTTAAGTCCAAGACAGTATTTATTCAAAGGAAACAACAAAATGTGTTTAAATCTATGCTGAGAACTGAGTGTTTTTAGTAATTTACAGTTTAGCAATGAATGTTTCCTCTTATTTATGTTCCTGATCAGGTATTCACAGTATAAATAGTTCTGTGAGATAAAAATCTTAATTTACCAAATAACTTGAAAAATAAATGGTGTTTCTAGAGAAGATTTTTGGAACTGAAAAGGTTAACTCAACATTTCTGTCTAAAACTCTTATTATTTCCATATCTGTACAAGACCTGAATTTCTGCCTTCACTAGAGTGAATTAGAGAAACCCTATGGCCAAACAGGGAGTTTTCCCTCTGAAACTGTCGTGTGCTGTGCTCTGCTCCAGTGCCTGGTTCAGAGTAGGCATCCATGAAACGAGTGAATGATTCATTGCTAGAACTGGGAACAAACACAGAATGTACTAACATTGGGACACATTTATTACTGACCTAAGGCACAGAGAGAATAGACTGTTCCTTGTAAGCATCATTGACGTGACCACGCTTGTGTGACCGTTCTTTCTTACTTATCAGAAGGGAACATTAAGCTTCCTGATGAGTTGTCTGTCACTGAGTTGAGTTTCTGTTGGGTGAGAGATCCCTGTCCTTACCCCAAGGGACTGCCTCCTAACTCTGGGTGTTTCTGTCTCTGTAACAGCTATCGTCCAAGGAGACACCTTAGAAGACATATATAACCAGTGCAAGCTTGTTATTGAAGAGCAGTCTGGGCCTTTCGTCTGGATTCCCTCAAAGGAGAAGTTATAAATTAGCTCCTGCACCTCTGACAACGGCAGAAGAGCATTTAGAAGAACAAAAATATATATAATATAATACTTGGAGGCTTTTATGTTTTTGTTGCATTTATGTTTTTGCAGTCAATGTGAATCCTTATGAATGTACAACACAAACTGTGTGAAGCCATGAAGGAGACAGAGGGGCCAAAGGGTGGGACGGGAAGGACATTGCAGGAAGGCTTTGGTTTGCTCAAAGTACCAGGTGTAGGGATGAAGCTCTAGCGGGCGCTCTGCCCTAGAGATGGGCAGCCTTCTCACCCCAGCAGATGTGCAGAGCTGATGTCAGCTGCAGAGCTCTCTGTGTTTTTCGCTTTAAGAAAAATTGCCAGCACTCGAACCTCACCAACCTCCCCCCTACCCACCTCTGTAATTGGTACACTTTGAATTTTATAACTATGCACATCCTTTGATTTCTTAACAAGCAAAGGAAATAAGGAAACCAGAAAGAGTCCTTCTGGAGGCGACATACTATCAGGGGAGGATTATGGCTTAGTTTCCTTGGCTAGCGCGTGCAAAGACAAGTGTGTCGTCAAACTGGCAGCGGGTGTGCAGGACTGACCTTACCGAGGAGGGGATTCCACCTGGACTAGCTTTATGATTGTCGACTTTGCCATTTATAAGCTGAAAGATGGCACTAACGAGAATAATTTATACAATAAAATATATTAAATGTATAGAAATGAATTTCTATAGGTTAAAAGTTTTGTGAAATATTTTGTAATGACGAAGAAAACCATTGAAAGACTAAATGTACGCACTCTCAGCGGATGATCAAGTTTGAAAATCTGAGGTTGCACTCTCTCCTTTTTTTGCCAATGACCCATTCAGAGCATCAGCGTCCCCCCAGGTCTGCCTAAGACTCCTTCCTCACCCACCTCCCTCATTGCCATTCCACTCACACGCTAGCGATATGCTCTTATGGGACACATCCCTTAATAGTTACCCTCATGATATTTTTGGAAGAGATATTTTTCTGTTACTTTTATTTAAAGCCAATTGCTTTTCAGAGACAAACTCACGCAAATAATCAAAGGGGGACGATTGCTTTTCTCCAGTTAAATAGCCTGAGTCAACCACGTAGATAGTCAAATTCAACTTTCGTTCTTAGCTGCTTGCCTACAATTGAAGAACCATTCAGTATTCCGGCAAGCCAGAGTCATTAGGATTATCTTTTCTTTGTTTCACAGAACAACTGGGTGTTTTGTAAACATCCCAGGTTGGCATTGCAGGGGGAGATCTGTCCTAAGATGCACTATTTCTCTGAGGAAGAGAAAAAAGAGAAGTTATCTGGTTGGGAGTGGTGAGGGATGCACTTTCCTTGTTTAGTATATAGGGCAAACCACAAGGCAAGGACAATTTATGACTTTGAGCTCAACCAATTGAACTGCCTTCTTTAGGGCTGCACCTGGACCAAGTTCATTTTTCTAACAATTATGATAATGATGATTTGGGGGATTAAAAAAACCCTCCTGAAGCTATAAGCTGAAACATAAGAGTTAGCTTCCCACTTTAGCACCGATGGTGACGTCAGCACTGGTTCTGCCCAAGGTGTTCAGAGAGAGACTTTTTAAGTGTTATTAATAACTACTCATACCTGGGTTCTCTGCATACCCAGATTAAGCCCCATCGCCTTATTTCTGGGGTACATCAAGACCTGGCAGGGATTCTGCCACACTGTGCAGCCAACCAGCATGCAGGCTGGAGTACAAGAACAAGAGACAGAGCCATCAGTGATGGGGCTTCTTCTAAGTTAGAACATCGGGGCTTACAACCGAGTCTCTTTCCAAAATCAAGGGTCGTTCATACCATCGTCTGCCTAGCTGCAGTCACCAAAACAAACATTAAAATACAAAAGTATGCCTCTTCCTATATAGTCTTGAGGCTGCCTTTGCCGATGGAAGGGGTATAGCAAGCAACTGTGCTTTTTCTTTCCCCCCTCTCATAGGAGAGTTGAGTTTTCCAGAGACAGCCTTAGAGCGCTCACAATGTGAAAAGATGCATCCATATCTGCCAGCCATCAGTTTCAGGTCGAGGCCAACTTCCATCAAGATTGCTCTCCGGAGTTTTCTGCCACTAGAATGCCATTTCCTGATCCCAGCTCTCTTTATAGGCCACCATGATAACTTCTTTGGTTTCTCCACTGAGCATGCAACCATTTTTACCTTAGAGGACTGTCATTAACGAGTAGATGTTTTCTCCAGTTGTGTGGTGTGCTTTCCATTCGATAGTATTGCTGTGGCTGAGTACAATCAAATTGAACCACAAACCATTGGTTTTGTAGTAATATAATTATTTATTTTCCCAGTGTAGATGCTTCCAGATTAGCATTAGCACTGATTTTTTATGTAGATTTATATAAATATATATACAGATATATTTGCTTGAAGACTCGCCAAGCATCTTGGTGAGAGGGTCTTTCCTATAGAGTTCACTCATCCATTTTGTTGTGTTGTCTTGCGCTTCCCAATGTTGAGGTCTCTATGGCTCCAAGGAACTGGTGTATTTTGCAGCAAATCCAACAACATCTATGGAAATGGCATGAAAGTCACCCAGATCCCATCTGGTGCAAATGCGCCTGGAGCCTTGGGCCAGACTGGTGCTAACACTGCAAACTTTGTCCGGAGCTCTCCCCAATCTGAAGGCTCGCGGGGGGCACAGTGTCACCTTCTCATGCTGGGCCCTTTCGGAAAAGTGCCAGATCGCGTCACTGGTGCTATTTTTCATGCTCTGGTACAATGTGTAGCACCATGGGGGGTCTCAGCTTTACCAAAACTGAAATCTCACCTGTCAGCCAATTATCGCTGAGGCATTCATTTGCTTATTGCTCTTTTCCATGAAAGTTGACGGCCTACTCTTGGACGGCCTTTTCTCCCGGACCCAAATTCAGGGGTTGGCTCTATCCACTTGGCAAGCCCATCTAGATGAAGCTGCACTCAGATGCCTCTGTGAGCTGTCTTAGATCCTACTGCCAGCCCTTCAGGACACAGCCAGGGATGCTCTACACACCTCTGGCTCTCACCTATTCCTTCCCCTCATTTTATCTACGGCTTTCCTTCTCTCATCTCCTCTGCCATGTTGACCCTCTTCTATCCTTCCTGGGTTGTGGGCCTTGCCCCTCCTCTCTCCCATCTCTTTCCCTGTCCATCTCTTCTTCACCTCCATCTCCTGCTTCCCTTTTTATCCCTTTCTCCCAAGGTCCTCCAGCCTCTTCTCACCTCACCGATTGCCGCAACCCACACCCTCAGCTTCCCTGTCCTCTAAAGGGCTCAGGCTGATTCAGACAGCAAGTCCACGCAATGGACTAACAACGCAAATACTTGGGGTCACCATTTTACTTACTCAGCCCAGAAAGCAAAGCTGAGTGTGAGGCCCTGACCTGGAGCCAGCCTGCACCACTGCCCTGGCAGTGCTGATGCAAGAGCTGCGGGCCCCTGGCACCTGGAAGCCTCTGCCTGGACCCATCTCCAGGAACTCCCTCCCAGCCCCACCCAGGCTGAGGAGGCTTTCTTTTAACAGAGGCAAACTCTGGCCCCAACAACTACTCTCATAAACCTCACTGAAGCCATGACACCGCCCTGTTTTGGAGAGAGAGAGATTTCCCCTCCTTTCTTTTTCTCATTTCCATGTGAAGCCCCTTCTGCTCTTCAGCTGGTGATTGCTCTGGTGAGATTGGATGGACTCGCTAGCGATATGAACATCTTTACTGTCTTGGTCCCTGCCTAAAAGTTTCTACAAAACGCATTTAAGCCGAGGACTAAGACTAAATTCCTAAATTTATTATACTAATGAGTCACTCACTCCTGGGGAGACATCAGTTCCCTTAAAGCATGTGGAGTACCTCCTGTGACAACTGACTCTCCAGGAAGCTCCACAGAGAATTCTGTGGGTATGCATCAGTTAAGATGGTAGATATGGGATGCATACCGTGTAGACACGTCACATGAGGTACGATTCAACGTGGTTGGAAACACATTCACACTTCAATCTGTAAATATCCTTCCTCACTGAAACCTGTGCTTCAGGAATCCTTTCTTGTACAGCTGAGCAGCTTCTTGTAGCAGCTGAAGACAAGCTAAGATAGGCAGAAAATGTCGCTGACGATCAGCTGAAGGAGTGCAGTATCTCCCTCGCAGCTCAGAAGGCCAGACAGCCAAGTGGCCCGGTTGACTCCCACTGGGATGGGAAACTTTTCTTCTTTTCAAAATTTGTGTTTCCTAAGTGTATCTTACCTTCTGAGTGCACCAGGTTGTACCCGTTAGATCCTTTTCCTATGACAGTTTTGTGCTTCTCCCTGACAGGATGTTTCTCCACCGAGCTGTAATGCGGGATGGGAGGGGAGGGAGGTGCGGAGAGGGACTTACTCCGGGCCTGGCTGGAGTTTACAGAGATCCTGCACAGCTTATACTCCTGTTAAGTGTAAATATTCAACACTTCCATTCCATTTGTGTAAAAAAAAAATAAAGCACACACGATTATAAAATCAAGATGTATATTTCCTACTCCGTGTGTCCGTGAGTATTTATTGCAATTCCCACATTGTCGGTGGCGCCCCATTGTAAAGCCGCTTGGTATCCTGTTTATAAACATGTCATGGTTTGCTTTCGTACATATTCAAACATTTCCTACTTTATAGCAAAGTTATATTCTCCCAAGGCATAATTTGTGTTATTTCATAAGAGAATCACTCATTTCTATTTTTGCCAAATACGTCTGATTTCAGAGCAAAAATGCACTTAGAGTGTGCTTGCCCCGGGAAACACTGGCACCGCTGAGAGGAGCTGACAGGGCCGCATTTGCATAGTTTAATATTTGATTATCATCCTGCCTGCTTTTAATCAGAAGTTTTTTCCAAGAATGAATAATGCATTAAAAGTTAGGCTTTCTAAGACATCTTCTATATGAAGAAAAAAATTCCCAATATCAGGATGTTTTTCCCCTTTGTCTAATACTTAAGGCACAAAGAAAGGCCTCATTTGGAGACACAATGTCATTCGTTATATCCTGGGACCACAAAATATACCAGCACCAAAGATCTGAGCACATAAAAAAATGTCACATGAAGGAACCTAGATCTGCCGGTCCTAAACTCTTTAATTTGAATGTGCTCTGTCATCTTGGCATGTAGGTAACACCAGTGTTAGAGCTGAGGTCTAAAACAGATTCCTACCATGGAAGGGGTGAAAATGTTTCCTTCAAAGCAATCGCTCTCAAGTATGACATGTAATACATAATCACATGACTGGAGCACCAGTTCTGAACCCAGCTCAGCCGATCATACCATCCTGGCCATGGCTGTGAGCCAACAAGGATGAACGATGCTGTCCTTAGTGCTTAGGCTTAAACATTGAGGCTGCAGGACCAGCGCAGGGCAAACCTCCAGTTGCAGTAACTTAATTATTGTTGATATTCATTCAGCCTTGTCTGCTTTAATATTAATGTAATTCTTTGCAAAAGACAGATTAATTTCAATAGCAAGTGTCTCTTCAGAAGAAACGAGCTGGAAGAGGCTGACTTTTGGGTCCTTTCATTTTTACGTCGTGATCACTCTAGGAGTCTCAAAGGCTCGCACTGAGCTGCACATTCCTGAACCTAAATAGGTCTAGCTAATAATCTGACCTATGCATTGACAGGTCCCCATAGACCAGTGATAGAACTAAAAGACCAAGGCACAAAACCAAGGAAGACTTGTCATGGGAGATTCCTGTTGAGGAAATTTGGTTAGATCGCCAATTGTATGGGACGGAGTTTTTCTCTGGAGATATGTGACCAGTAAAATCCAGATGGAGTCAAGGAGTGAGGAGAGCTTGCTGAGGCCAGGGCATGGTTACCTTCCCAGGACCTTCCGGACCTCTATTGTGAACTAGGGGAGCGGCAGCTCAGAGGCAGCGTTGCGGCCTCATTCTGTATTGGAAGCGTACTTTATTGATTGGCAACTGTTCATAAATCTGACTTGATCACAGAGTTTCCTCTCTTATAACCTGGGTGCCATCGGGTCACCTATCTCCAGAGAAGACCACGCCCATTGGGCCAAGCTGTCCCATACAATTGGCTATCAGACTGAAATCCCACAACAGATACCTGCTTTCTTGATAGAACCAGTCTCCATGGGAAGGATGTCTTCCACGGGTCAGAACAGATGGGACTTGTAGTAACAACGCCACCCCTGCAAGTCACCTCTCTTTTAGGGACATCCCAGAAGGTATCACTGCTGTCCTTAAACTGGCCTCTCCCATCAAACCTTACGCCAAATCTAGGCTCTGTCCCTAATTCCCCTTAGCATATTTTAGACAAAGTTAGGATAACTTAGTGAACGTTGCTAAATCTTTGTTTGGAATAACAAAGAGAAATAAAGGATAATTTTATCTCTGATATGAGCTTAGTGCCATGCATGACAAAGGCCATCTTTCCCCACTTCCCAGGAGTCATCCCTAACATAGCTGCAGCAGAATCATCCCTCTGTGTCCCTAGCTGACTCAGGAGCTGCTGTATCAGGTGAGCTGTCTGTAATCTCCATCCCTCTTGCTCCCACATACTCACTGTAAATAGAAGCAATTCACTACGACTAACTATGATTGCTTTTACACAGTAACCTTCAATGGATAATTTGTAGCATATCAATAACTCAAGCCAAAAAAAAAAAAATCTGAGTTCCAAGTCAGGTACCAGTTCCCTCCTGCCCCTATATCAAGACCTAGCTGCCCAGTTCTGGTTATATGTATGGTTAGATAATTGCTCAGATGGTAAACTTCTGTTCTTTAAGGCCCGTTTTGCACATTGCGCACTACAAAACTGATCTTATCAGCAGTTAAACACAGAAACCTGCAGCGTGGAAATCTACATCCATCTGAAACAAGGGAGAAGAGAGAAAGGGTTTTATTTTCGAGGATGCATCTTGAATTCCTTGTGGTCCTCAAAAGCAAACAATAATAAAAAATGTCCTTGGTGTAGACTTCGAGTCTCAGAAGAGGGAACAGTTAATTCCATAAAAATATGAAACCAGCTTTATTAACTTTATGCTCCACAGAGTTTTGGGTAGTCAGCACTCAAACTGCCAACTATTAAAGACAAAGACCATGGGCCTGAAGTAAGATTTGAAAGCAATTTAGGTAAGATTATAAGAAGATACTGCCTTGGAAATCCTAGTGGAGAAAGCACTCCAATCTAGAGGTTATTACTATCTGAGCTTTCTGGGCATGGTGGCAAGTATAATCTGTTGACAGGTTACAAGAATATCAAAGACACAGGTGTCAGTCATGGAAAGCAAATAATCTAATCAGGAGTATAAAGTTGTAGAAAAGTGTGTCATGTGTAAAACCGGGGACAGCTGACACATTAAGAATTGGAGTGTTTAGACTAGGGGTAATGATGCATTATCCACTAATCCCAGTATTCTAGAGGCAGAGGCAGGTGGATCTCTATGAGTTTCAGGCCAGCCTGATTTATATACAGAGTTCCAGGCCAGTCAGAACTGCATAGTCAATCCTGCCTCAAAAAAAAAAAAAGTGAATTGAGTGTTTGGTATTCAGGCCAACACTTCATTCAAAGGCTAGCTAGCAGTTGCATAATGAAAATTTTCCAAGTAGGGCTAACTAGGTGGCTCAGTGCTCGTCACATAAACTAGCCAGCTGAGTTCTATCCTTCATCCCACATGAAGGCAGACGGAGAGAACAGACTCCTGCAAGCTGCCCTCTGACCTCTACACATGCCTTGGAGCACACATCCTACACACACATCATGCACACATATGCACAAGGATGATAAATTCAGACTTTACAAGAAGCAACTTTTCCAAAGGGAAGAGTTTCCAAAGAAGCTGGAAGGGTTTAGTTGTTTATCGTTCCTTATTCATTGGGTCAAATTATAAACAGGTGCCCACAGCCAGACCTATCTACATGCCTCTGCAAAGAGTAAAACAAAATACAGAGAAGTATGTCTACTCGAGGAATATAATTCCCATCACAGAGACGTATAAAAAAAAGTTATAGAGTGGAAATGCTGAAACAAATCAGTGAGCACATAAAATCTCTGAAAGGGTGACTTTGACATCTGGGAGCAAACCCCTCACCTGCTAACAGTTTGCTCCATTATTCTCTTCTCTCCCCCCTTCTCCCCCT